AAGTCTGCTTAGAATTTTCACCGGTGTGCAGATTAGGTGTATTCAAATATTTCGACGCGTTATGTTTGGTATTAATATAAAAACAAGTAAAAATGTGTTGGCAATACCGACAGATATATACCCTCAGCCTATGGTTTGCGGAGGTTTTCGGAATTACACTCAGGCTTTATTATTAGCTGTAATTTTAATCTTTTTGGGTTAACCGCTTTATAAGTGACATCCATTAATAACGATAAGGTACAAAGAGAACAATAACTCAATATACTTTTCATTGCATTTGAGGAAAATGAAAAAAATTAAGCCATAAATTCCAAAGGTGCGATAAAAAGGTGTACACTGTAGCTAAGTTATGTGTATCACGTGCAGGCAAGACACCACAATGTTACTAACAGTTTAATAATGATTAAGAGCGCTGTGTGTTCTTATCTCTGGAAACAAAACGTTAATTTTGCTATTCTCAAATCCAACAAAAAATACTTTCACACATAATTTAGTTTACTGTGCCGACGCAACAAAAAACTAAAGATAGAAAAAAATATTGGAGCTGATGAACATAAACAAATATAAATATACTTGAGTCAAAATTAGTTTTATTTTGTAGGGAGATTCGCTATACATTGAGAACCCAAAATACCAAATTAGATCCAATTTTTAAAAATGTGAGCAACAATGCCAAAATAAAGTGCAGTCCGTATTAATTATGCTTAGTAATGATGTAATGATGTTCGCTACACATTAAGAACTAAATATAGCAAATTACAGCCAAATCTTATGGAAAACGTGCCCAACAAATTTAAGTAAGGAGGTTCGCTATATTTTGGGGCTCTATACTAATTATTGAGATCTTAATCTTTATCGAATATATATACTTTGAGGGGTCTGTAACAATTATTTCGAGATGTTATAAACGGAATGACACATCAAATATACCGTCCAACAATATTTTGGAGGTGGGGAATTCGTTATAGAAATGAAAGCCCTTTGGCGAATATATTAAGAACCCAAAAATAAAAAATGCCAAACATCAAGTTTATATCAATTCAGATTTAGATATACCGCCAATATATATTATCGACCGATTTCAAGTAAATTGTGCACCAATTTCCAACATGTTATCATATTTTAGACGAAATTTTGCACAACGTACCTAATTGACGTACTTTTCCCTTACAGGTTTCCCTTAGTTAAGCAGACTTTGCATCCTAGGTGATCAACGTAACCATGTTCGACCCTATTTTTATACCCTTCACCACACTGTGGTACAGGGTATTATGTCTTTGTGCATATGTTTGTAACATGCAAAAGGAAACGAGATAGACACATGGCTTCTTTGAGAATATGCATAGAATCTCTTTTTAAGTTGATTTATGCATGTCCGTCTATCCGTCCGTCCGTCCATGTATATTTGTTAACAAAGTACAGGTCGCATTTATGATCCGATTTGGATAAAATTTGGCACAGTTCACTTATTTGGTGCACCAAAGTACGAAATTTGGCATATCGTACCGAATTGAGTCTAGAACGATGTGTGTTAAATTTCGTGAAAATCGGTACAGATTTAGATATAGCTCCCATATATATTTTCGTCCGATTTTATGTAAATGGTGCAACAGAGACCCTATATATCCTTCGATTACTGAATTAAGTCTAGACAAATGTGTGTTAATAATTTTGTCCCATTGTAAGAAGCAACTCTATAGCTGATCAAAGATTTAGTATAGGTTGCAGAATGACATATTTAATTTCATGTTAATGGTCCTTCAAAAATGCGAGGTCTGTTAGGATTCCATCTGTTGAATATTCCCAAAGTGGTGAAGGGTATCATATAGTCAGCCCCTTCCGACTTTACTACTTTCCTTACTGGTTTATATGTTTATTATGTTTTTATTCCAAATCACGAATAAATCGCCAGACGAGATAAATGAAACAAACAATTTATTGCAAACTCACTTCACGTGCACACTAGCACGTTTTGATAACAACGATTTTTAGTTATCGCAAAAATAGAATGACGGGCATTCTGCTGTTTAAATTTAGCAATATAATTAAGTTTGTTTTCAAAATTTAGAATTCTGTATGATTTGCAAAATACACTTTCATATCAAAGTCCGTTTCGAACCAAGTACATGTGTGTACGAGTATTTTATGTTTATACATTTCGAATCTAACATTTACATTTGTGTTTAACATCATGTTGTGAGCATACAATGGGACATTGGAGAGTTAATTTCGAATTTCATAATATTTATCAACTTTATAGAGGGATTAAAGCTTAAGATGGACCTAGGATCAAAACGACCAACATGTTATACCCTCCCTCAACCACGTAGTGTGCATTCAAAATTCCTTCAAATCGGGCGTGTATTGTGCAATGGAATATGATCTATAGTGCACCATTAACATAATATCCGACTAAAGTATATATGGGAGCTATATATATAAATCTCAACCGATTTCAACAATACTTCAAGGACATCTACACGGACTTATTTCAGTACGCTGTGCAAAGATTTGTCTGAATCGGGGTAACCTTGGGAGTTTGGTGCGCCATTTATCTAAAATCAGAAACTATATATAGGGGTAATATGTAAATCAGGACTAAATTCAGTTTGCTGTCCAGAATTTGATCTCAATAGGTCGGACGAAGCTATATCTAAATCTGAACCGATTTCAACAAAATTTTGGTTTGGTGCACCATTTACATAAAATTGTACATAGCTGTATATGGGAGCTATATATAAATCTGAACCATTTCCAACAAAACTTTGCATACATCAATCTGGACCTTTGTTTACAATAATACATGGACAACTCAAAAATTGATTCTATGCATATTCTCAATAGTCTGAGAATATGCAGGGTTCTATCTCGATTCCTTTTGCCATTTACTAACATTTGCACAATGACATAATTCCCCGTATCAAAGTGTGGTGAAGATTGTGGTCAAAAATATGCGAATTACAAAAAAAAAAAAAAAAAATTGTTTTCAAAGGTCCGTCTTTTTGTTAATCCTTGTTCGGGAGGCAGACATGTACTCTTTCTAACGCCCTTTGGAATTTCCGGATTCCGACGTCCCAGTGAGGAGTTATCTGCCTGTCATCAAAAATAATGAATTTTCTTTAATCACCAACAACAACAACCAAAGTAAATGACCAAATCTTCAAATTTAAAATCAAAAATGGGAGAGGTCCCATTAAAAGGGCCACCCACCAAAAACTGCTACTTATAATTAATAGAACTTTTTACACAAAAGCTGTTTAATTTAGATTTATATAAAAATACAAATTTTTATTGACCCCTGGTTTGGTCTTTAAGTATTCGTTAAAATGTATGCGCTACGGTTTATTGCAACCTTGGGTTGGCGCATTTGACATTTTAACGAGTAATTACTTCTCATTTGTTTACCGCCTCCTTTAAGCATCGAGGAGTATCAATCGGTCATTCGGACAGGCATACGCATATCGTTGCCAGCACGTATCGTTAAACATAGAAAGGTAATTTCGTTACCATATATTCAATCTATTAATAAACATTGAATATATTTAGGAACAATCCTTTGTGTGCTTTTATTATTCTTCTTTTACTTTCACGGCACACGTCTTTCGTACACCCCCTCCCCTACGGTCTACTGCTCCGCGCATTCGGCATATCGACTCCCATCGCGGAGCCCCTCTGAGATAAACACAAACTTTGCAATATTAGCTCTCAAGACATATATGTAATGGTAATGCGGCTTAAGTGTAAAGTGGGCTTCGGAAAACGTAACCAGTGAGCGGAGCAGTATAGTCGGACGGGGCCGACCATTCGATACCCTACACAACTACCACGGAACTCAAATTTTCTGCGGATGTTTATTCTGAGCCTGGGCAATATTTCGTGATATTTGCACCCTCTTGCCCGATTGGAGGTAAACATCACCTCTTCCTCACACTGACATATTTTCCGAATATTACGAGTATTCAGTACAGCTATTGTTCAGATTCCCTTCACCGTGGGTTGTGTTGTGATGTTCGGCTTTCATTTGAGGTCTATAGATCGACACGAAAATAACACAAAAAATTAAGTTTTCGGTCCACTTCATTCCAAAATTATTATCTGATCATCACCGAAAATTATAGGCGTTGTCCTTGACCATAACTGGAACCTCATGGAACATTTCAAAGCGATCAGCACTATAGTTCCGCTCTTTAGAGTGATAATGGGTTACTAAATAATATACGAATACGGAGATACCTGTAAAAATTTAGGTGTAACTCCCACACTCCCAGAAAAACCGACAAAAAATTAGTATTTGGTCCATTTCATAACCGATCTTTCCCAAAAACAATAGGGGTCTTCATTGGCCAGAACCCATCCTACATGCAAAATTTCGTGAAGATTGGTCCATAACTGTGGCCTGTATCTTGTTTACAAATACGGATGGACGGACGGACACACATGTCTAGATCGACTCAGCTAGTCGAGATATGACGATCGGTATACTTAAAGGTGGGTCTGGGACCAATATTTCGTGGCGTTACAAACTTTTGGGGCTGCACAAAGCTATAATACCCTGACAACATAGTTGTGTAGGGTATAATTAAGTCCTCTGTCGGGAAATAACGAAATAAATTTCAGAACAACCCAATAGTTCCTCTCTGGGAATAGTTTCTTTGAACTAGTTCGTTCCCGAACGACACAAGTCTACTGGTATTATTTTTCATAATTAACGGCATACCATTCTCTTTACTATATATTTATTATCCGATAATTAATATTAAAGAATATATTTTAGCTTGATCAAGAGTTGCTCTGTATCTGATATAATCCAAAACCTCAATGGATGATCACAATTTACGATCATGTAAATACATGTAGTGAAAAGGCTTCAATTTACCACATTAAAAAAATATATATTTTTTTAATGATATAATAAATTAATTTTCATACAAAAAATAACTTAAGAATAATTTATAACTTATAGATTTTTTTTTTTATTTTTTTTAAGAAGTCCTACACAACTAAGCACTTGATTTTTTATAATCCTTAACAAATTCAACAAAATCTTTCATACTGTTGGCATAATAATTTGGTATAACATTGGGATCTGTTTGACGCATAAGCTCTTCAAGTTTTATGCCACCGCTTAAGACTAACAGTGTTTGGAAACCACAAAGTTTACCAAATCGTATATCTTGCTCCAACATATCACCAATCATCATAGCTCGACTAGGATCTTCAATACCATAACGTTTCAGCAAGGAATCTGCCAATGCTTTACCAGGTTTACCAAAAAGTAATATTTCTCGACGGGTGGAATCTTCTAAAACTTTTAGAAATCCACCGGGACCCAAGACCGATAAGTCTTTGGTTACAGGCAAAGTGTAATCACTTGCGCCGCCAATAAATATACAATCCGGGCGGCGTAAATAATGGTGGGCCTTCATCATTGTAGTCATTGTTAGATTGAAATCAAAATCAATAATGACAGCCTTGACGGGTTCACGACCGATTACAACACCCATAAGATCACGGAATGATTCTCCAATAATTTCGTAAGGCTAAAATAAAAAGTATGTCATTAGGAATTGGTATTATTGATAATACTATAGTCATCTTACTCCATCGAGAATTTGGAATCCCTCTTTCCGGAAATCATTTTTAATCGATTCGCTTGCAATGGCATATATTAAACCCTCAAATTTAATACCTTTCAGATATTCCACAATACTTTTGGATGGGTGAATTAGGTCATTCTGTAAATAAAATGATGTGAAATTAAACATTTTGTATAAAGTAAAATAAATCAACGGATTTGTGAGTTCCAGCCTTTATTATAATACGGAATGTGCGATAATATATGTAATACTTCAACATGAGGGGATACAAATCATAAATACTTTTTTTAAAGAGTTTCAGAATAATATTTACTGAAATATTATCGAAATACATATATAGATTCCTCATAACTTACCGCCTCAATTTCAATTTTATTCTCTTTCAATTTATCCAAGCATAGTTGTTCCGGCCGGACACTGTTATTGGTAATGAATGTCAGTTGTTTGCCCGTTTCACGAAGTGCGTTAAAGCCATCCCCGCTACCTTCGATGACAGCGGACGCATTCCAAACTACACCTGTATAAAAACAAATTGAAATTTATGAATATGGCTTCCGTATTGTAATATAATGCAGTAGTTACCATCTATATCCGAAAATACACGATCAAATGAATCCAAAAATTTTTGTTTTTCTTCTTTTGTCAATGACAGAATATTGCGAGGCTGTTGTATCTGTAAGTAAATAATATAATATTAATATATGTATAACTTTAGGCGACGTAACTAAAGCCAGTATGTATAATTTATTTTTCTACAACAATCGAAGGTACAGTATGTCTAGAATGATTTTAAACCATTCATCACTTTGGGTATATTCAACAGATACATCCTAACAGACGTGGCATTTTGAAGGATCATTGACATCAAATTGGACGAACATAAATATGTGACCTTTATATCATTCTGCAACCGCTGTCAAACTTCATTTCATTCAGCAAAATTTAGTTTGTTTGTTTGTTTACAAAAGGAACAAATTTATGTAATTTAATAAAAAAAAATTGATACACGGTATTCGGTACACGGCAGCACAGTGCACAGTACAACATCTTAATCTGACACCCGTAGCTTATTTGGTGCACTATTAACATGAAAATATATATATGGAACTTATGCCAACAAAGCATTATAACGCCATTCAAGAAGTCTCAATTTTATACATTGTGCAAAATTTCGTCTCAATCTGACAAACAATAAAATCGGACGAAAATATATATTGGAGCTATATCTACATCTCAACCGAATTCAACAAAACTTGCTACAGGTTATCATATAGGGGCACCTTCGGCACTTTTTGTTTAGAGCTCTATATCAACATATATAAAAACTTTATGGCTAATTATTATCCTCGGATTCTTAGTTATAAAAACTAGTACCAAAAACATATAATAAATTAGTATTAGTTCACCATTTTTACAGTTTTTTAAAAAAGTCAAATTTGCCGAATGTGCCCCTACCCGGGGTAGCTTCGGCATTTGATGAGGCACATTTGCACCATAGTCATAGCTTGTTAATTATCATTGCTATCAGTCTGGTTCGAATTCAGATCTTCTAAAGGTTCTATTTTGTTTTAATACGCGAATCAATGTTTGACTTTTAAAGCTAAATTTTCTAGCGGTGGACGTTGACGTTTCAAGATCACAAGCACCATCAGAAATAGCATTTTCTATCGCATTTTCGTCAATACAAGCACGTTTGGTCTTATATATGTAATTTCGAACCAGATTATTTTTAAAGACAAACTCAAAAAAAAAAAAACAAGTGAAAAAGCGTTAAGTTCGGCCGGGCCGAACTTTTGATACCCTCCACCATAGATATACGGGCAGGTACTAGAAATGAAAATATAGGGAACATGGACCTATACCGATATTTCTAAAAACGGATTATGTAAACCATAATGTAAACAACAATACAAATTTCAGAAAATTTTAATGGATAATTATACCTCCAGCCTTACAGCTAATGACGGTGTATACACTTTAACACAATGAATATGTGCCTCATCGAAATATTGGTTCTAGACCCCATGTTTCTTTGGATCAAATCCGTTTCAGTAAAGTTGGATTTCATTCAAACCTCGCACATCTTATTATTTCTTCCAAACTTAGTTCAAATTCGAAGATGGGGAATATCGGTCCACTTCTTCTGGTACCTCCACACAGGGGCTAGGTCTAAATGCGGCTATAGTTCATTATCGAACCTTACGTTCTAATTTTTTATCTCGCTATCCTCCGCAGGTGAAATGATTACAACAGAGTCTTAGAACCAAAATTAAAACGCGTAACAAATCAGATAACTATTTTAATATAAAACCAGTAAGGAAAGTAGTAAAGTCGGACGGGGCCGACTATATGATACCCTTCACCACTATGGGCATATTAAACAAGTCCATTAGCATGAAATTGGATGAAATAAAATATGTGATATTTATCCAAATGTGAATCTACCTAGATCTATCCATAACGTATGTAAATCGACTTCAAACAAATGTAAATATGTCTGTACTTCTAGAAAACGCAACTATATGAAAATTGGCAGGCATCATTCTAGGCTCAATTCAGTACGTTATGCCAATTTTCGTGCAAATCGGAAGATATATAGGGTTTTTGGGGCAGCATTTACATGAAATCGGACGAAACTATATATGGGAGCTATATCTAAATCTGTACCGATTTTTTGGCAGACATCATTCTAGGCTCAATTCAGTACGTTATGCCAAATTTCGTGCAAATCGGAAGATATATAGGGTTTTTGGGGCACCACTTACAAGAAATCGGACGAAACTATATATGGGAGCTATATCAAAATCTGGTCCGATTTTCTCGAATGTTGGCAGACATCATTCTAGGCTCAATTCAGTACGTTATGCCAAATTTCGTGCAAATCAAAAGATATATAGGGACTTTGGGGCACCATTTACATGAAATCGGACGAAACTATATATGGGAGCTATATCTAAATCTGGACCGATTTTCTCGAAATTTGGCAGATATCATTCTAGGCTCAAATTTGGCAGATATCATTCTAGGCTCAATTCAGTACGTTATGCCAAATTTCGTGCAAATCGAAAGATATATAGGGACTTTAGGGCACCATTTACATGAAATCGGACGAAACTATATATGGGAGCTATATCTAAATCTGGACCGATTTTCTCGAAACTTGGCAGACATCACTCTAAGCTTAATTCAGTACGTTATGCCAAATTTCGTGCAAATCAAAAGATATATAAGGACTTTGGGGCACCATTTACATGAAATCGGACGAAACTATATATGGGAGCTATATCTAAATCTGGACCGATTTTTACGAAACTTGGCAGACATCATTCTAGACCTAAATGATTAGGCTGCACCAAATTTCGTGCAAATCGAAAGATATATAGGGACCTTTTACATTAAATTGGTTAAATATATATATGGGAGCTATATCTAAATCTGAACCGATTTTTCCCAATTTCAATAGGGTTCGTCCTTGGGCCGAATAAGTGACCTATGCCAAATTTCAACCAATTCGGATCATAAATGCGACCTGTACTTTGTTTACAATTTAACATGGACAGACAGACGGACAGACGGACGGACGGACGGACATGCATAAATCGACTTAGAAAGTGATTCTATGCATATTCTCAAAAGGAACCATGGGTCTATCTCGATTATTTTTGCCTGTTACAAACATATGCACAAAGACATAATACCCTGTACCACAGTGTGGTGAAGGGTATAAAAAGGGGGTTATATGGGGACTACCCCAAAAAGGAGGCGAATATTAATAATTTTTGGTAGGGAGATTTGTTACTATATACGACTACAAAATACCAAATTGCAGCAAATTCGGTTGATAAACGCGTTCAAGAACCCCAAAATACCGAAAATTGGGGGTATCCTTATATGGGGGCTATCCGAAAAAATGGATCTATATTCATAATTTTTTGTGGGGAGATTTGGTACCTATTAAGAACTCAAAATACTAAATTACAGCTAATTCGGCGGAAAAATTAGGAGGTACCGTTATATGGGGACTACCAGAAAAAGTGGACCTATATCCATATTTTTTTGTGGAGAAATTTCTTACCCAATAGGAACCCAATAAAGCAAATTTCAGCGAATTCCGTAGAAAAACGCGGTCAAGAACCCCAAAATACCGAAAATTGGGGGTACCGTTTATGGGGGGTACCAGAAAAAATTGACCTATATTTATAATTTTTAGTAGGTTTATTTGGTACCCAATAAGAACTCAAAGTACCAAATTTAAGCGAATTCTGTTGAAAAACACGCTCAAGAACCTCAAAATACCGAAAAGTGGGGGGTATCCTTATATGGGAGCTATGTCTAAACGTGGACCGATATAGCCCATCTTCGAACTTGACCTTTTTTGGGGCTCTATCTCAATTCGTTTAGACGCTAGAGTGATTACAACAGACAGACGGACAGACGGACATGCATTAATCGTCTTAGAGTTTTACGCTGATCAAGAATATATATACTTTATAGGGTCGGAAATGAGTATTTCGATGCGTTACAAACGGAAAAACAAAACTAATATACCCTCCATACTATGGTGGAGGGTATAAAAATTAAGGAAATAATATTGCACTATCTGTATATGGCCGAATGTGCCCCACCCTGCACCAAAAGGTGCCACAGTCTCCCCTATGTACTAACTTTAGTACGTTTTGGAAAGATGGGTGCCAATCGACGATATTTGAGGTTTTCTTGTGCCATTTAGTCAAAATGGGACGAATTTATATATGAGATTTTTTCAAATTTCAATAGAGTTCGTCTTTGGGCTAAATAAATGAGATTTTCCAAATTTCATCCAATTCGGATCATAAATGCAATCTGTACTTTGTTTACAATTTAACATGGACAGACGGACGGACATGCATAAATCGACTCAGAAAGTGATTCTACGCATATTCGCAAAAAGAGCCATGGGTCTCGCTCCCTCGTTTATGTTTATTATCAACAAAATTGAAAAATTTTTGTTATTTATTCAATGTGTAAAGTGATATAAAGTGAATTCTAAACATTTGTTTAGTTCCATAGACCTGGGCAAACCATAGACAAATATATATTAATTTGGGGGCAAATAAATCCATTTTTTCGGCTGTACTGCAAGATTTCTCGTAAAGCTTCAAAAAGAAGCTCGATGTTTGGGTGCCACACTAATTAACAGAAAAAAAATAGAATGAATCGAATTTCCATCTGCTTAGCCAAACGAAATGAGATACACTCATTTATTTAAAGAATAGTGACGGGAGATGAGAAATGGATCACATACTATAACCCTGTACGAAAACAATCGTTTGAACGATGAAGCACTTTAAATGGTGGCCAAACCATGTCTAACGGCCATGTCTAGGTTCTGCTATGCATTTGGTGAGATTGGAAGGGAATTATTTATTATGAGTTTCTTCCATAGGGCCAAACGCAAAATTCTGATATCTACTGTCAACAATTGGACCGTTTGAAGATAGTAATTGACCAAAAACGACCTGAATTGGCCAATAAGAGAGTGTCGTGTTCCACCAGCGCAACGCTAGACTACACACATCTACAGTGACTCGCCAGAAACTTCGGGAGCCTGGTTGGGCATCGGCCATATAAAAATAATGGATTTCTTTTTCTCCAACCTAATATATCTATCAGCACAGACTGACGCTCTGCTTA